TGTACTGATTTACACCAGTACACCGCGACTAATAAGATTTCGGATCAATACACAACAGAAACACGCCAAAGTAAAGCATAAAAATATTAACAAAGCAACAGTCTTGTGTTTGATTATAATCTAAGCCAAATACAAGGTAGTTGCTTTACTAATTTTATAAGATTTCGAATATTAATACTCAAAAATTTAAATTTAATAATACGCTTAGCTACAAAATTTGGAACTTATTTCAAGTACCTTAATTATCAACTTAAATGGTTCGTTAAATTTTTTTTCTTGACATATTTTTCTTTTATCACAGACATTTCGTAAAATGGACTTTTATGTTTAACTTTTATAGCCATACTGAATAACGCACGGTCAGGATTGCTCTTCATGAAGAATAGTTTTTCATTTTTTTTATTTCATAATCTGTGCTTGAAACGATACAGATAGTTTACGAGTAAGAAGTACTAGAGGCTTACCAAGTATTAGTAGTCTGCTAAATACTAAATACTAATAAACACTTACCAAGTACTAGTAGTTTGATCTGAACTCAAATTCCAACAGACAGGCTAGCTGTATGGATGTTTTTCTGTGCTACGAGCTAGTTTATTGTAAGTTCTTCTCGAAGGACTCCGTTCAGTCCTTTTCATTTAAGCAGATTGCCACCCCTCGTGTTCCCTATATTCAACAGAAAAATAGACACTTTGCAGAAATGCACCTCAACATGAATATTTATAAACTGGATACTGAACTCCACGAATAAGGCCTTTAGTCATTTGAGACGGGTGACTAAATCATAGGGCAAAAGCTACGGTTTCTAATGTTTAAAAAATACGCGCTTTCAAATGAATGACAAAGAAAACGATTATCATTAGAAGAAAAACCTAACGGAAAAATCAACAAAATGCATCTGGAGTTATTTAAGCTAATAAACCCATTAACAGCTATTTCCTGTGTATTTGGCAACAAATATAAAGTATGTATGATTTTTTGAAATTTTCAAAATAGGCTTGCTATCAGATTTCTTATTTAAAGGCCTTCTGTTTAAACTAAAGTATAGGGTTCTAGTTAAATTGTGCGTCCTTGACAAGTAGAACTAGAGAAGAATATAACGACTATTTGCTGTTTTTCTTACAACTGTAGAAACCAAGTCCAAAGAAGAGTCAAAATACCATTTTATTCCACACAATAACAACAGTTGGCTCCTATCGGGTTTAAAGGAAAGCCTCCATTTGGTCTTTACTTAAAATAGAAAATAAGAAACTAACTTAATTCTAACTAATTAAAATTTAGCCGAAGCTGTACAAAAATAAGTAACATAGTTGGCCCTTATTTAAACCTCCCCGGCGAATACTAACAGGCACGTAAGACTACGGCCGAACGTAGTAAGACAGGCTTTAAAGCAACAATGTGGCCAGAAGACAGAACATGCTCTACTGAGAATTTCTGAGTTCTTCTACGGAAGTGACTGAACTTCCCATTAAATACTGGTTCTACCTCATTTACATGAAACTCAATACTGAAAATTTATTCTGGCAGGGAATTAATTATATGTGGGATACAAGAAAATAAAGGAAAGGGTTTCAAAATTAAAAATAACTATTAGAAAATTAAATTAATCCATACAAAAGTATTAAAACAAATGTAGCAGATGAAAAAGAGCTATTTGAACAAAGGTTAGCAATTTTTTAAACCAGCAGTATTTGAAAGCAAAACCATATAACAAGTAAATGAATGCTGATGACATCAATGGTCCGACCACTGGTTGTATAAGCTTGCAGTTCTTCAGAAAAAGCTTAATGCAAGGGATATGGTTAATTATAAGAGACATTAATTAACTAAAAGAAACTATACTTATTTTTCAATGTTAGGGCAAATTTGAAACGAAAAAAATATAGGACTTCTTTCGCTTACTTTTCTTAGAACGGAAGGAAATTTCATTCCTTTGAGAATCAGTAAATAATGTGGCAACTTACATGGATATTTAAATACATAGATATTAGGCTTCTTACGGCTTAATTATTAATAAAACATTTTGCTTTCAATTCACCTGAAAAATCACAAGCACTTATTACCATGAATGGTTTTCACGTATTTCAAGTATAATTTCAGGCAACAAAAGAATATTACGTAAACAACATTTTCGTCACTTCTTTACATTTCCTATTCTATGAGATTCGCATTTTACATTTTCCGTCCCATTAGATTTCCAGAAAACAGCAAAATATAAAATACTCAGCACAAAATTCGATATAATGAGGGGTAACGACAGTAAATTTATTTTGAAAGATTAACTAAATATTTTAGTGTAGCAAAGTATAAGAAGAGTTCATCATCGACAAGAAGGCAAGAAATTCGGCACCTTGAGTTATGTCTTAAAAAAGAAGGAACGGACTGAATAGGACACGAAATTAAAACTAAGAGGCTAATATATAACACTTGCTTTCCCTAAAAGTCCTAAAAAAGGAAGACGGAAACCGCATTTAATAAGAAATATTAGTTATATTAATAAACAACAAAGATAAATAGTTCCCTAAATGCTTTATCGCTTAGAATTATTAGGATGCAACGTTAAGTTTTCGGATTTTTCCCCATAACTCTTTGTTCTGCTTCCTTTTAAGGGATTTGCAAACTAAATACAATAATCATAATACAAAATCGACATTCTGATAAAAATATAAATATTACTACTTAACAAAAGAGTTTTGATTATAACAAGAGAGAAAAAAACTTTAATCCTTTTATTGTACAGAATGAAGTGTTTAAAAATAGTTTGCTTCTGCTGCTGCTTAATTAAACATTAATTTTGCCACCTTCCGAGTAAAGCTTATGTATTTTAACCTTAATATACAATACTATGCAGAATGAAACTCGGAAAAAAGAGAAATCTTCATTTTGAAGAATTTCATTTTTCAAAATGCATAAAAGCAATTTGGTTTTAATTAGGTCATTTAAATGATTTTTCAGTTATTAAAGATTTTTCGAACCAAGTAACTTAAGATGAATCTATGCAAATATCGCATGCGAAATTTACCTAAAGTAAATAATTCATGTCAATCTAATCTCAGCGCAATGAATACATAGCTTGGGTTCCTCCAGATACATAAGCTTAAAACTCTGGGGGAAGAAGTCTATATGGCTTTGTACAGATGACTCGGCACCGGGAAAAGATGAAATGCATCATAATAGACCACCCAATCAAAAATTCTCCCGAACAAGATGTTTTTCCTCTCGTTTCGCACTATACAAGAAAAAACGGTCATGGTCGGATGGGCTATACCTCAATCGGACCATGTCCAGCCTAGCAGCAGAATTCTCTGAAGTATCACATAAAAGGGGTTATCTCCATACGAATTTATTAACATAAACACATTTGTACAAACAGTTTACGGGAGGAGCTATTTTCGTGAGCAATCTCACTAAGTTCTGCAGATCCACTGTGTTATTCAACAGTAACTGTTAAACTGTGGCTTTAATCGGAAAGTAAACTTTTCTAAATACCGATTTTCTTTCTGCTTTTTATTTAGGTAAGCTGTGTTTTACAAAATTTTATGTTTTACTATCATTGCCTTATTTACAAAAATGCATATTTAAATAATTCCTTAATCACTGAATACATGCTTTTCAAAATTGCATCCCAATGCAACTGCTCCAAACAGATAACATTCGCATATAACTTTTTATAATTATTAACCAGTCACTTTTAATTATTTATTTAAATATGTTGCTATACTCTGGAGCTATTCTTAACGACTTCTTTCAAAGATTTGCAGTTTCCCTAACTATTTCAATATTTTCAAAGAATTGTTTTTACGTTTCTTGTACTTCTAGTCTACAGTTTCTGTTACGAAACAGAAATGCGTAATAATACAACACAATTTCTCAGAAAATATTAAAACCATCCTGACAAACAGATTAATTTCTGATAGCTATCATCGATACTAGTTAACTAAAGGAAGAATCATGTTTACGCTTATGAAGCACATTTCAGGTTTTATGATTCATTGCCATAGCAACGAGAACCTTGTTTTGATCGAGTCTTCAAGATAATATTTTCAATAGATGTAACTCAAAATGAGACCTAACTATTATTCTGCTGTAGCAGCTAGAGGAAAAATTGCATATGATCACGTCGATGATAAAATTCCTGTCATTGAATAATAAGCTTACTCAGCGCATAAACAAAATGGATAAAATGACACATAGAATAGGAAAAAACTATCAACTGAAATCCAGTGCAATTAAAATGCTGTATATACGAAATTTAGTATCTTTGAAAAGAACTAAAGGCATTTACCACATGTTCTTCTAATATAGTGACCAGTACGTCTAGCTACAAATGGAAGATCTTGTATTCATTTCTCAACAAGCCCACGACATTTTCTTATAAATGTTTACTCACAAGGAATCTAACTAACTCGTCACCAACCTGGCCGACTGTATCTCGCCTCTTCTTTCCCAATCGTCCTCTAAATTAATGTGCCATGTGGGGAAAAGGGCAAAGGCATTCTTACAACATGTCTTTGTGATGTAGCGATTAGCACACCAGGCAAACAAATGGAACGTCTTGGGTTCGATTCCCGGCGAGGGTAGGATTGATTCCTGGAAATTTATGCTAGAAGGGTACCTAATAACTCTCCCAACTCTTATATACTTTTCTTCAGTATCTGCGTTATATAAATATGCACATTGTTTACAGAAAAAGTGAAATGCAAAGTCTTTTATGTGAAAAGATAGAATAATGACACATTTCAATAAATAAAAATTACATTTCAAGTTCAAAATTATATAATTTAGGTATCGAAACATAATTTAAAGATCTTTATTTATGAAATTATTTTTGAAAACATTTTGAACAATCTTTGAAATCATTCTTGAAAACATTTTGAACAATCTTTGAAATCATTCAACACAATATTTGTAAAAAAAAATCAGAAATAAATAGTAAATATTCAGATCGATTAGTTTCTCATCTCTTGTGCTTTGATAAAATAAAATTAATCAGAATTAATAAAATAAATTGGAAATTGTGGATTAATCATGATCATTTAATCATGACTTTGATTATTAAAAATGCTCGAACGTCTTATTTAATCTTAAAATTTAAAAACATCGTGGATTAATATATATTATTATCCACATTTGCATTAATATATTTTACAGATGTCTGCTAATAAATCGGATAACAGTAAGGTTTACGAAAGCTTACTGTATTAAAGATTAATTTTGCGATCTTACAAGCTCGTTAAAATCATCTAGCGCTACAGAAATTTTGATAACGAAACTAAATTAATTTCTCAGTAAACTCGGGTTGTTTTTCTTTTCCCTGTTTTTCCTTTGCTATCTCACATCTTTCCTTTTGCATGAGAAAATTCGCATAACTTCTCAGTTGACAGTTAGAATCTGTTTCGAATGTCAAATATCTGAATGTCAGAAAAGCTGTCGGAACAAATTACACAATACTGAAAGAAAATTCACGCCTCAGAAAGCAACGCTAAGAGCAAATTGGACGCATTGTCCACTTGTAAGGGGATCGTATAACAAATTACGAATTTTCTAAAAAAAAATAATAGAACCAATTGTTAATGAAAGCTTTCGTGACACCTCGTTTACAACCTCGTGTAGGTATCTTTATGATATTTGCCTTAATATGATGCAAAGTGATTCCGAGCAGTCCAAACAGACTTTCGCGTTATAGCACTGATTTTGAAATATGTATTTTCGCGTTATAGCACTGATTTTGAAATAATATTAGTATTTTTAACATTAAGCAATTTTTATCTAAACAGTTATAAAATGTTGTAACAAATTCTTCAGGAATTTAATCAGCAATACATTACTAACAACTTTTCCGATTTGCCTGGAAGGTTTATGCAACATAAGTAATTTATTCAGTTTTTTTCATTATTCTTTTATCATATTTACATAAATGTTATTTATTAAGGTCACAGATTTTAAAAAGCATCCGAAACATACATTTTGAGCTTAAAATTTAGCAATATTTTCTCTATACTCTTGTTAACTTAGTAAGAAATTATCGTACACCCCTACGTGGCTCTCCTGGTGGGTTAACATCTCCAGTTAGCAAGAGAAAAATCCGTGGTTCGAATCCTGTAAAACGCACAACTGAATGTTCCTGGTTTTTGGTCCAAAACCAGTCTATACAGTGGCGCCTGAACTAAAATGTGCTGCACAATAAATCTTCACCACCAAGATTTTGTCGACTGGCTCCCGTGCCTGTTTACTGATGTCCTTCCACAGAGTGAGAACGTAAGAAAGCATCGCATTCCCTTGCGTGTATTTTCGTGGTACAAGTAGTTAACACATCATCTACCTGGGAAATGAAATACGCATGGTTAGAATCCCAGTGGGTGCACATTAGACTTTTGTTTTTTGCTTCAAAAAACCTAATGATTTCCACAATATATCTCTAAATAACACACGCGAATATTCTACTTTGAGATTTATTTTTCATTTTGGTACACTTTTCGGTTTGGGAAGAACCATGTGGCTGAAACGATGTGAAATAATTCACCAGATCTCTAAGATACAGGAAATTTATCAACAGTGCGTTAAATTTCATGCTTAATCAGTTCATTTTCACAAATATTTATTCAATATCAACCTTTCAAATAACTTATGAATAAAATAAGTAATTTGCCTTTTAATTATGGTTTACTTCTAGATTAACGTTAAAATAAAGTAATAAAATTTTTTTAATGTAATGTTTTGTGATAACAATAAAACAAAACTATTACACAAAGATAAAAATACGCTATTCGCTCATACACCTTCCTGAAACAGGAAACAGCATCAAGCCTCAAAATAATGCCCAAATTTGGAAAGGACTAAAGTATGAAGTAAAATTGGTATAGTGATTTAAATCTAGCCCTAAATGAAAAATTTTCCTTGCAATTCCTTCTAAATGACATTTGACATCAGATGTAAAGCTCAGCAGAATCCCTTGGGAAGAATTAAACTATTTTATTTTTGTCAAGTTTCCTAATTTATATTTTGGTTCTTTAAGTGTCAGGCTAAGTAGGACTCCTTTAACATTTTTATTCGATTTCTTAAGATTCTTTTCAGGTTGTCTCTTCTAAATGCAATGAACTTGTAACGTATCAAGAATAAAAATAAAATTTATTTTATTCTTATTATGTATCAAGAATAAAATTCAAATCAGCGATTGATTTTACTCCATTGATAAGTCTATTATATTGTAACGTAACGGGAGATAAAAGCTATACAGGAATCCTCCCAGAGTAATGGCCCAAGAAACCTATTGTTAAACTCATATTATAAATAATACTTTTCATTACATGCGAACGTAACTTTGTTCCATATATAAGATTCGAGCTATATCTGATGCAACAAATTCTTTGCCTTTTGAATTCCTTTCATAAAAACTGCAAATCAGTCTGTTCTTGCTGTTACTAATATAACCCTATCAGAAATACCTTCGATTCAAGCGACGTTTTGTGTAAAACACTTATATAAGCCTCAATAAAAAGCTACATATAAAGAAAATCGTTCTAGACAGCGTCATAGCATAGGACACGCTGGAAGATAGATAGATGACATCCCTGGGCTAAATTCCCTCCCCCCCTAAAAAAAACCCCAACCTCTCAAGCAAGTTAACTTATCAAAATGTCAAGTTCAATAAGTTTCGCAAGTACATGACGATAAAGACATTCTAAATGGGGAGGAAAATCAACTTTGAAATCCGTTGTCGAATGCAAATCACTTCTACATTGCGCTGACTCTGACACCAGAGGATTCCATTTCGCGGTTCAAGAACGCTACTTCAGAATCGCTCCGCATGTTTATTGGGTATAATATAAGAAGAGGTAGGTGAGACCTGCGGTCCGCATTCCGGAAGGAACGACCGAAAGGTCAACGATCGTAACCCTTCGCTGGCCAGGTCAATCTTTCCTGCACCCACGGCACAGAAGAGAGGGGTGGTTCAAGAAGGCAAGCGGCACGTTTTCCGCATCGTTTTGCTTCATCACCTTCTTCTAGCTTTCGCTACTCCCTTCCTTCCTTCTTTTAGGAGATGTCACATCAAAAGGATTTCGACGCGTTGACCTCTGTCTGACCCCGACAGGACCTTCAACTTTGGTCTGCGTTGACCAATATTACTCTGCGATGTTTGCTTGTGGACACAGCTGTCGAAATATGAATTATTATAATGCAGAATGTTACTTTTGTTCACATGTTTTTTCCCAAAATCTTTATACACATTTTATTAACTTCCGTTTGAGTAACTTCTTTTCAACTTCCGTTTGAGTAAATATTCACACTCGTTATGCAGTACAAAGGAGGACAGATGTAACAGCTATTATTTCAATCTTTGCTATAGGACACTCCTCCCCTCGGATAATGGATTATTTGAATCAATAGATGATTAATATTATTAGCTAGTTTTAAAGTTGCGGGAAAAAAACCTCAAATTAAGCGTAATTTATCTCAGAATATTTTAAAAATTCGAAACATAATATTAAAATAAAAGAAAAATTCAACTTTCTTACCGAATCAATTTTATTTTTGTTTAAAATGACATCATTTTTAAATCCGAATTTTGTACTTTAAAATAAATTATAGGAAGCTAATATAAATTCTTTTACTTTGAATTACTTTCCATCAGAGCTTTGCCTGTATACGTTTTCACCTAAGGCAAATAAATGAATGCACATCAAGTGCAATGCAACGTATCCGGCCATTTAAAAGGAAATGAATATATATATATACATATATATGTGTGTGTGTTTGTGTACGTGCGTGTCGTACAAACTATACATATCAATACATTTTTATACGCACAGTTTATTTATTATTACATTTCAAATCATAATATCAAACACCAAAACTCTAATAATAATATTAAGTCACAGCTTTACAACTATATATTCAGAAAAATGTTACTGATAAATGATTTATAATTTCGATTTGAAAAGCGCCAAAAATTCCTTTCTGTTCTAATAATTTCATTTTTTCTTACTTCTAATCAAGCAAAATCATCAATAATTTCTCAAAATATACTTGATCCTTTAATTCCATAGATCATAGATAGTGTTTGAAAAGACCATGTTTGACCACGTTTGAAGTAGAACAGTATTTGAACGAATTGCCATGTGGACATAGCATAGGGTTTTGGAAAAACATGCTCATAGAATGGGCCCATTGAAACGTTTTTCATGATTAATTTAAGATGATATGCAATTTTTTGTTTCAAGTTTATAAGGTATTTCTCCCACTTTCCAAGCGTGTCTTCTTGGTGTAGTGGTTTGGCCGGTATTTCAGAGGTCCGTGGTTTGATTCCCGGCGAAGGCGTTGCTAAGTTTTCATCTCTCTGGCCTCCAAAAAAAAAAAAAAAAAAAAAAAAAAAAATCCTAATGTCTCTACAAGTTTGCTGAAGTTCTTTCGCCACAAGCAACTCTGATTAGAAACGTAAAAGTATTCTTGATACTGCTTCCAAATGCGGATACGATTGAACTAAATTATTTTCGTAAATTATCGTTAAGTGGCCAAATCATTTAAGTTGTTTTAGTGTCTAGAGTTATAAAAAATGCAAGGTTTTTAAACTTAGATATTTTTGGCTGAATTTCAGCAGCATTTATATCATCCGGATATTTAAGTGCTATACTGTTGCATTTAAATTACCTAAAACCAATGAGATTAATATTTCATCAGTTAAAATTTGAAAATCGGAAGACTTTTTTTTTTTTTTTCAGTTTTTCTTACTCCAGTTTCATTTGAGAGACTAAAACATCTAACGCTTCTCTAATTTCTACTGTGAAGAAATATTTTACTGAAAAATTAGTTTTCTTATCAATTAATGTTCGAGAAAATATCAATTAATATATGAGAAATATAAATTAATACATAAAAAATTAGATGATACTTTTTTTCTTTTCTGCACACATTCTGGCAATATATTTATCTCTAAAGCCAAATTTTTACATTACTCAAGAATACACTGAGAAAAATGTTATTTCGGCTGCTATAAAGAGAAACATAATCTGTCTTTTAAAAGTCCGATTTTGTAGACAATCATACATAATTTTTTATTGTAAAGATTTAGCTAAATCTTATTTTTATGCAGTATTTAATTCTACACAGATAACATACATAAAATTTTAAAATTTATTTGTTTCTATATGCTATTATTTTCATCCCAGTGCAATGATTTATCATTTGATTACATACCTTTTAGTAACCGAAGTACTTCGGCACTTGATATCCATCGAGTATCTGTGTTACTCATTTTGAAAAGCAGAGCAATGCTATAAGTATAACACATTTCATTTAACAGTGGCTAATAGGCAACGCTAGTATCTTTCTATAGGGAACCTGTGAGGTTATATTACTTTTACTAATAATTATTTAAATTTGTTAAACTGTTCAGTCATTTCTTGTTTCTCTCGCGTTTACTCGCCAGGATGTCAATGAGTTAGGGTGAGACAGAGTATTTATACTGAGTAGCGAAAAGGTTAGTCATAGCGTGTTTCGCTACTGAGTTACGTTGTTGTTTATCAGCTGTTTGAATTCTGAATCTCGGCTTCGCATTCCTTACCCCCGAAATTTAATATCACGCCGGCGTAGGTTTCTGAGTCAATCTGCTAGGTTAAATTAATATGTGTAGTCTTAAACTACTAGCTTATTTATTTTATTTTTAAATTTAATTTAGTTTACAATCATCTTTAATTTTATCGCCACAAGTGGATGGTGAATTTGAATTCAGTTAGAAGTTATTGCATGACCAGGATAGGGTCTCCAGCTAAACATTACACAATAATAATATTTCAAATGAATTTTTAGGCAAGAAATTTATTAGTTTCGAATAGATTGTTTAGCAGATCTAATTTTGAGAGCAATGGAATCTCTGTCACATTTTAAAATATATAATCATAATATTTGTCGAAAATCGTGTTTAATAATCTCATATTTAATGTCAAATTTGCTTCTTAACAGTAAAAGCAGCTCTCACTAGACATTCCTTTACTTTCAACAGAAGCCGCGCACTTTTTAAACAAGCGAAGAGAAATACAGTTAAAATTAATTATTAATTCTTTATTTTCAATTAACTGTCAGTTTCAAGAGAAATGTATTAAATAGTCTTCTGAATAAAAATGCCAAATGTAATTAGTATCTAGCCATTATTAAGAGAATTTAAATCTTAAGCGGATTTCCTTGCTTATTTTAGGCAACCAAAGCGTCTGTTGCCAGAAATCATCTTTTGCAATATCCCCTATTTTAATACATAAAAGATTTCGGTTAAACAAAATAGGCATACAGATACTTAGATTATACATTTCAAAATATAACAGGCTAACA